TTAATTTGCTTTATTGATATTAATGTTATAATTAAAAAACAAATATTTTTCAAAGCAAATTACTGCTAGTATCTTTATATTGAGAGTTCACTTATAATTTAGGTTTCCTAGAATACGGTTGTAAATGGAAACGAAGGTATACTGTGTCCAATTGATAAACACTAGGATATTCCACCAGTGCCGCTTATGAGAGAGCATCAATGGTTTCATTTTCCCTCTATCTGTTCATTCCCCACCCAGCCTGATTCACACATGATTGTCACCCAGTTGGCACCTGAGTGTGCAAATCCTAGTCTAGAGTTGACAAAAAAATAGAAGGGAGTATGCGTTTAAACTATAGTGTAAGAAAGACATCTTTGCTCAGAATTCTTTAAAATGCACTTCTTATCTTTGAAAGGAATTCAGGCTTACTTTATATTAATTATAATCACTACTTATTGAGCTCACATTCCTGTCAATTTTTCCAACAAATATATGCAGTTAATGTTATTACTGATGTTTTACAAATGAAGGGATCTAGATATTTGATAATTAATAATCTGTCTGAGGATATTCAGTAACAATTACAGCTGGAATTCAACACCAGATCTCTCTGACTGCACAGCCTGACAAAGTCTTATGCAACTGCATTTTAGCTCCTGTGTTGAACTTATCCTCTTTCCCCTCTGCAGCCTCCTTGGATTGTTTGGATTCTGTAAAGGGGGCATCCTTATGCCATCTCTGCATGGGATCTTTCATTTCCATGTTCCAGCACTCATCACCATGAGTCACACTTGGTAGAAGGTCATTAAAAGATTTTAGAAGTAAATAATGACATTCTCTCCTGTCTACATTTCATTTAGTCAATACACACACACACACACACACACACACACATTACTGAGTACTGAGGATCCTTATAAACCTTTAAAATGTTGTGAAAGATTTAAAAGTTTAGCTAGAGAGAGGAAAAATAAGACAGGTGTTTTTTGAAACATGTATTCTGGGGGTTGTTTTGATGGCATTTTATATTTTCAAACTTTTAAATAATGGAATAGCTTTGTTAAAAAATAAATATTAAACTAATTTTATTATTTTCTAATTTTAAAAGTTATATTTCAAAATAATAATAATTATAAAATACAAAGCAGTAAAGGAAGTTTTCATGTAATAATCCCTAAATGAAAAACAAAACTGTTAGAATTTTATATTTATAACTGTCAGTATCATTGTCATACACATATGTCTGCTTATGTATGCATATTAAACATAAAATAAATTTCAGTTCATTCTTACAGACATTAATCTAAATTTATAAGACTGGATGTATGCCCAAATTATCAATCTTTGTGTATGTGTATATGAATGCATATATAAATATATGTATTTATGTTTAATATACATACACACATATATGCATACATACATATGCATATATATGTGTATATATATAATTTTTAAAATACTGCCTAAAGCTGTCTTGAAATTAGAACATTTTTTAAGCATTGTATCTTGTCAATCAGTAAATATCATCGTAAGCATTTTTAATGAATGCACAGTGTTATAAAATTTTGGATATATTGATTATTGTTTAGCATAATAAATAGTTCAGTATATGCTACATATGTTTTAATTACTGTGATATGTCCACTTATTTATACTCTCTCTGTGTGTATATTTAAAAATGTTAGACTGTTAAATATTAGCGGCTTGGCCGGGCACAGTGACTCACGCCTGAAATCCCAGCACTTTGGGTGACCGAGGCGGGCGGATTACCTGAAGTCAGGAGTTCCAGACCAGCCTGGCCAACATGGTGAAACCCCGTCTCTACTAAAAGTACAAAAATTAGCCGGGCATGGTGGCACCTGCCTGTAGTCCCAGCTACTCGAGAGGGTGAGGCAGGAGAATCTCTTGAACCCCAGAGGCAGAGATTGCCAGCCTGGGGGACAAAAGTCAGAATTCCTCTCAAAAAAAAAAAAAAAAAAAAAATTAGCAGCTCATGCCTATAATCCCAGCATTCTGGGAGGCCAAGGCGGGCGGATCACGAAGTCAGGAGATCGAGACCATCCTGGCCAACACAGTGAAACTCTGTCTCTACTAAAAATACAAAAAAAAAAAAAAAAATAGCCAGGGGTGGTGGCGGGTGCCTGTAGTATCAGCTACTCTGGAGGCTGAGGCAGGAGAATCGCTTGAACCCAGGAGACGGAGGCTGCAGTGAGCCAAGACTGCACCATCGCACTACAGCCTGGGCAACAGAGCAAGACTCTGACTCAAAAAATAAAATAAAATAAAATAAAATAAAGATATGAAATGTTCTAATTCTCCCTATTTTTACTTATTGTTTTATTTTAAAATGTTAGTATAAGTACTAGCAAATGGAACCTTTTATATTGTTATACTCCACTTGCTACGGGAAAGATGGAAATCACCTTTAAAATGGATTTGGGTGTGTGCACAGATTTTAAATCTTAACAAGGAATTATTTTGTATCTACAACACCAGGAAAAATTCGTGAATACAATGGATGTACATTTCTTGCTGCCACAGTGAGGGTAACAGGTGGACGGAGTTTTCTGTGCTGGACATCACATCCCCCATTTTGATTCACCATCTTCCATTCCTGTGCAGTCAGTAGTTTGGTTATTTAAGTTTATATTTCCATTGAAACATGAATAAACATGAATAGATTATTTTATCCTAATACACAATTAAAAAGCTACAAATTACAGTAGAGATCAGCTTGCACAAGTTATTTTCTTGCCAAATAAATCTATTAATATTACACATAGCAGTATTTAAGCATTGACTCATTCTTTTTGAATATTTTTACATAATCCTAGAATGACATAAATTGTTCAAGTATAAAGTATTATGAAGTTATAGAGAAGCAGTATTTGAAAGGTTATGATGATATCATTTGACTAAGAGGAGCACAATTATCAGTATTTCTACTTTAAAGAATATTACTTCTTCAATAATTAACTTAAGGCCTTGTTCTACTTTATTATTTTATTATTGTATTTGCCACATTACGAAAACAATCTACACATAATTTTTAAAGGCCATTTTAATATTTTCCAAACACAGTTTTTATGTATTAATTACTATTATTATTTACATTTTATTCTAGTTGTTGGTATATCTCACTGTCTTATCATTCTCTCTAGTCATTAATATATGACTTCTTTATTGTATTCTAATTTTTGATACATATATTCTAATGTAAAATATATCATAATATATTCTATATTCTGAATTACTCCCAATTTCTTGCCTTATTTTTGAGCAATGGTAGGAAATACACCATACATTTATTATTTTAATAGTAGTAATGTTATATAAGAAACCATTCAAAGGTTAGAGATGCTAACATTCATGTATCAGTTAATAAATTGATCTTTTCCAAGGTGAGTCAGGTATGTACTAAGGGAAACTAACAAAAACAAAAAATGGTAATGTAACAACTCCTCACAGATAAATAATTCTGATGGTCTAGTAAACACTCTAGTGGGAGAGAAAGTAGATCTCTGTGCAAGAAAATGTCTCAATTCTGCAAACACTCCCAAGGGTGGGTTAGTAGGACAAGAATTCTGTGCTGGACTCAGAAGTTTGGCTCAACCACTACTTTCTACTCCGTGTTTGGCTCAACCACTGCTTTCTATCATGAAGTGTTTACTTTCATAGGTGATCTTCAAGTTTCCTAGAAAGATGGTTCAGACTTTTTTTCAGATTAAAAAACACTGCAATTTACAAAGCTACATAGTATGTTATTGAAGACAAGGGCCCACATAGAATATTAGTTGAATTTTAGAATTCTTTATAACAATTCATATGAACTAGCAAAAAATAGATATCCACAAAGTACTCAGTATATATTTAATTGATTAATAAAATATGTTTAGAGATCAGCTTTTGCCATCTGTGTTTCCAGGCTATGCTGATTTTAGCCGAAGGCATATATGAGTAGGTTCAGAGATTCCTTAGCAGATTCCTTTGCAGAGCCAAAAGGTGTTTTGAAATGATCATAATAATGTAAGAAGTACTGGTTTCTGTACCTAAACTTGCTCAGATCACACATATGTTTTCACATTTTCTTTTATTTTTACATTTTAAGTGAGAAATATCTTGCAATAAATCTGTTCTTGTAGATGTGACCTTTGTTCATGTTCCAACTTTGTGTACTTTTTCTGTTTAAATGACACATTATTTCACACTAGTCAGCAGGACAAAAGGGAACTAAAAAAGGACAAAATAAAATAAGTCAATGACATGATTTATAAGTGAATACAGTCTGCATTAATTCTGCTGTAAGTGTGTACCATACAGAGTTAGCATGTTTAAGTTTCTCTATAAAGCCATTGGAAGGTAATCGTTTTATTTAGCAAAAGCACTATTGAAGAAAGACTTCATGTAATGTCCTTTATCCAAACTTAACGTTCACTTTTATTTGGTTTTTAAAGTTTGTTTCTATGGCATATGACAGAGGAAATGCTTTCTGTGAAGACCAACTTTAAATTCTTATAAAATATCATTGATTAAATTTTCTTAAAGTAAATGTTAGACTTTATCTGGAGTCTTGACTGAAAATGTTCAACACACATATTTTATCCTTTAGCATTTGGATATTGCATTTCCCTGTTCTCTCGAGTGCTAAAACAAATTGGATATAATATAATTTCAAAGTGCAAGAAACAAACCACAGAAAGTTACTCTCTACATTCTTGATAGATAATCATTTAGCATTGTTTGAGCACAGGCTTTTGGTTTCTCAGTTAAAAAAAAAATTTTAAAGGGAAATCTTTTCCAAAATGTTTACATATGAAATGTGAGATAATATTGATAGCCAATTTTAAAAAGAAAAAATCTGTTTATATATGTTGTTTTATATGTGATGATTTCAGTATATCAAAATAGGATATTAATATATATTAGTTCACTAAAAATAATCTGCATAAAATTCTGAGGACCTTGTGTTACCACATAATTTTCTTCTCACTTTTATTATTTATTTATCATTGCAGATTAAAAAAATCAACAGAAATTTTCCTGTAAACCAGCAGGTAAGATCAAAGCATACTTGAAAAGCTAAATAATATATTTCTTCAATTTGATCTATTATAGAAGAGAATGTTATCTGATTTCTAAACAGAAATAATTGGTACAGTCATTTACTATCTTTAGTGAGAAATATACATTTCAGCTATCTCTTTCATATCATATAATATGTAGGTTCCTCTACTTATATTAAAAAGTACTTTAAAAATGTATATCTAAGTCAAAAATTATTGTTTATACAAAATAATGACATTTATTTGAATACATTGTTGAAGAACTTACAGTTTTATTTACATATGATAGTTTTAGTATATCTTAACTTTTGGGAGACATACTTTTAATTTGTCTCAAAATTCAAATGGATTTTTCACAATTTGCTGACAGTATTTCAAATGAGTCTAAGTCAATGCATAGAACAAAAATAATTTTGATTATTCAGCTCTATAAACTTCTTACTCTTGATATCAACTTTGATTTGAAACCATTGATCAAATCTAAATATCTATGATAGCTATTTATAAATGATACATAAATTACATATTAATTTTAATGATAAAAATGTTTAAATGCTCTTCAACATATAAAACGTAAGATCTTTTTCTTATCTAAACCTCGGTTCCCTTATCTGTTACATTTGTATAAGGGTGACTATCCTGTAAGTTTATTTTCAGGATTAAATAATAGCACATGTAAAGTTCTCAATCTATGCTATTATTATCATCAAAGTTTCCAAATGTTTACACTTATTCTTTGGAATACAGAATTTATGTTTTATAGAAATTGTATCATTAATGATGCTGCTAGCCCAGATCAGCTTCCAAAGCCATGTGTAACTAGAACACTGGAGAGAACCGCTTTGGAGAGTTCATTGTGTCTACAATGCTCTGGTCTAGTTATTTTCAGCTCCAGAAGTCCCCTCCCTCCTACCTTAAGTCCCTCAGTCCTGAGTCAAGTTGATATTTTGGATAAATGCAGAGGTTGGAGAGGTGTACATGTCTCGCCACATGCTGCAGCAACCTGTAGTTGTTTCTAAGTCCCTTACTTACAGTGTGGAAACCAGAGTTGTCACCAGCAGACTCTGCTTACTTGCTCTGTGATGACACCTGGGATGCTCCCTTTGTTGCTGCCATGCTTTCCCAGGTGATTCTGATATGGGTGTCATCTTGAGAACTGCAGACAGGTATAGTTAAAGATAGGTGTCATCTTAGAGCTACAGTTTAATGCTTTTATAGGGTTCCAGTAGAAGGAAAATGTCATTAATAAGAAATTACTCAGATAGAAGAAAGCATCAGCTATGGGGGAAGATTATAATGTCCATCGATACACAAGGCTGTTTTCTAGTCAGATCTATAAAAATGGAAATCTACTGTTTTGTAAATTCTTCTCCAAAATAAAAAAAATGGTGAATTTTTTTTTTTTAATTTAAGAATGACTCTAGACCTGTGTCATCACCCTCTCATGCCTTTTCTAACCTCAACATGGGAGATATTAATATTGGCGTAATATATTACTACAGTGGTCATTCCCCTGATAGCCCCAAAGTTATTCTGTAATCATAATGACAATTACAGCTAATACTTCTCACGCAGTCAGCCTGCTGACTGGGACCACTTCTTGCCACCTTTGCTTATATCCAGGTTTAGAATAATATTAAGTAAAATAAATGAGAATTTGAATAAATCACACATAGAACAGGTAATAAAAAAGTTTAATATTCTAACACTATAATATTCTGACACATACTCATATGTAAACATAGATGTTCATTATTATTCATCATTTTTATTTGCTAGCATGCTAATATTTTTCATTATATAATTATTTCAAATCTGAAATTATGTAATTCAAAACTATTTCAGATTTTATTTCAACTATATTGGCAGCTCACAGTTTTGAAAATCATAACAAATTCTTCCTGGCATTTAAGAAACCTGAAAATAATAGTTAATAGTTTTTTTTTTTTTCATTACTACTTTCCATTTTACACATGAAGAATTTTAAGACATAGGATTAATTTATAGTTAAATATTTATATTATTGCATAATTAGGAAAACTCACCTCACAGTATGACAACAATGCATTAAATGACTAGAATACATTTCCTACTTAGTAAAATCTGAGCCAGTTTAAGGAAATTGAAACTTAAAAGCACATATAATCCCATTTGTGATGATATATGCATTAAATAACTCCCTCGTATTCCTGGTGTTCTAGGTATCAAAACAGAAATTAAAAGTCACCCAAGCTACAATGAACCGGAAGTTCTCTGCTCCCTGAGATCTGGTTTTCAATTTGTGCTACCCAGATGGTACCACTACCCTAACCAAATAAATTAAAATGAAAGCAAAACACAGGGAGAGAGCCACTGCAATCCAACTGAGACAAGTGCTAAGATTAGTTCCACATGAACTCTGCCACACTCCAGAATGCATGATGCTTTCAAGAAAAACTCTCTGTCTGAAGAAGATGGTTGGGCCCAAAATTATAAACCATATGAGGAAATAAACCATTATAAAGAAATGCATAGAGACTAAAGAACTCTCCAAAATATTTTTAATCATGATTTTTTTAAATAAAGAAATCAAAATTGTAAGACAAGAACAGGACATAGTGCTAAAATTTGTAGTTGTTAAAAGAACCAAACAGGAGTTCAAAACTGAAAAACAAAAAACAAAAAACAAAAAAAAACCCTACATTTAAAATTAATTAACCAACTAAATAATCTTAGTTATTGCCTCCACTTGAAATCACATTAGTGTATCTCCTACTTCACTTTTCGTGAGGAGTAAGTTTTCCATTTTTTCTATGCATCTGGGACACATTCATGTGTTTTTGTTTTATTAAGAGTCTAATTTGGTTCTTTTTTTTTTTTTTTTTCTTTGAGACTGTCACCCAGGCTGGAGTGCAGTGGCGCAATCTTGGCTCACTGCAACCTCCGCCTCCCTGGTTCAGGCGATTCTCCTGCCTCAGCCTCTTGAGCAACTGGGATTGCAGGCACGTACCACCACGCCCGGCTAATTTTTGTATTTTTAGTAGAAACAAGGTTTCACCCTGTTGGCCAGGCTGGTCTCAAACTCCCCACCTTAAGTGATCTGCCTGCCTTGGCCTCCCAAAGTGCTGAGATTACAGGCGTGAGCCACAACAGCCAGCCTGAATTGGTTCATTTTTACAGTGAACACACTGAAATTCAATTTGCCCTGATAACTTTCTGTTGAAAAGATGAAAGGTGGGACAGTGGTCTTGCTGATGAACAAAATAGGAATGACTGAATGGATGTCAAGTGATGTTGTGATAATTCTCTCAATATATTAGAGGTAAAGGCATACAGGCCTAGAGAACCAGGCCTGCATCACACTACTGTATGTACCTGGACCATTGGGTCATAATTTATTACATGTGTCATTTTTACTCATTTTTAACTGAAGTTTCTTCATCCTGAAATAAATCTCATTCCTTCCACAAAAATAGCATTTTTCATTAACATTCTTCTATAATTGTTTACCTGGGAGTAACATTATAAAGTATTAATTCATCATTAAAATAATAATATAATGAGCTTTATATTATGCAGTATACAAAATAATATAATCAAATTGTTTACATTAGTTTAAATTAATAAAGTTATACTTATTTAAAACAACATGTTAGCTGTGGCAGCTATTCCTACAGGTATATTTACATTTGACTAACCATAATAATTTGGACACATTATTATAGATGTGTACATACCACACATAGAATGCTGGCAGCGGGAATAGAAAGTGACTAAAGTCTCTAGTTGTGCTGGGGAGAATTAGGGAATTTCAGGACACTTTAAAAATCCATTTCTGGAGTGGCATCAGAAAAGAAAGAAGAGTAGGATAAATTTTGTCAGTTTTGCTTCTCTATAAAAGATTTGCTTCTCCATAAAAGCAACAGAAGAATGGCAAAAATAGAATCAACTTTTAACAAATATGGAAATTCACAAAGGCTCACTGAACCCAGGGAGCATTTATTCAAGAAAAACAGCTGAGTCTTGGTAAGAACAGCAAGCTTTGTGGCATTGTAACTGGACCTAGTTCCAACCCCTCCCTTTTCTCTGGCAATATGGTGGCTTACACAATAATGATGTATAACCTGAAATTTATAATCTAATAAGTTGTATATTTAATTCATTCAATTTTAGTGTTATTGAAGATATGTATATGTGTGTATTTATTTATTTATTTATTTATTTATTTATTTATTTATTTATTTTTTCGAGACAGAGTCTCGCGCTGTCACCCAGGCTGGAGTGCAGTGGTCGGATCTTGGCTCACTGCAAGCTCCACCTCCCGAGTTTACGCCATTCTCCTGCCTCAGCCTCCCGAGTAGCTGGGACTACAGGTGCCCGCCACCACTCCCGGCTAGTATTTTTTGTATTTTTTAGTAGAGACGGGGTTTCACCGTGTTAGCCAGGATGGTCTCGATCTCCTGACCTTGTGATCCGCCCGTCTGCCTCCCAAAGTGCTGGGATTACAGGCTTGAGCCACCGCGCCCGGCCTATTTGTGTGTATTTAGACAAAATACTCTATTAATGAAACTGACAATTGGTCTTTATTTTTGGGGAATGTCAAAATCTGTATTTTTCAATTTGAGAAAGAAATTATCCTAGTTCTTTATATATTCAATTTATAAATGTTAAAAACACATTATAGAGTCACACAATCTGGGGATAATGAGCCTACTGTTGTTCTGGTCCATTTCATAACACTTGGCGATAAAATATGCTGGCATTTTATGATCTAAAGGAGAATCCACCTCAAAAAATGTAATGTGTCTTTATAAATTAACTCTTGGAAAATCAGCTAGCTCATAAATCATTTGATAATACACATGATGGATATTTCACAGGAAAATGAGGTGTAAATGTTATTTTACAATTAAACTAAAAGAGCCCACACCTAATTATGTAAACAATTATGTATTACAGTTAAAATAAAATATACACTTTAGAAGACTTGGGAAAGGGTTATTCAAGCAATA